CAGAATATCATCCAAAAACTGTTCAGCCCCCCCATCCCCCCCATACACACAGGGGGTTGACGAGTCCAGCAGAGTCCATGTCTTGAACGCATTCCCAGTGTACAGGCTGAATGTGTGGGAGCGCACACACACACAAACACACAAACGATTGTGTGCTGCCGACACACACAGGGAATTGTTATGTAAACACCACAGACACGTTCAGAGGGAGTGAGAGCTGGATCGCAAACCGCATAGCCTACACACACTACCCCACATTACACACACACCCACACACACGCACGCACGTACACACACACACACACACACACACACACACACACTACCCCACATTTCACACACACCCACACACATCACTGGAGTACACAGACAGACAAGCCACTAAAAGTCACACATTATACAGACCAGTAGACCTACAGTGACAACAGAGGATGACAGTCATCCAGACAATTATTATACAGAAATGCACAGGCATAAAATCACATAAACACATACTGTAATGCTGCCTTTCTCCCACAGAGATATTTTTCATAGAGTAGGTATGGCCCGGGGACACACTAGAGATACCCTACACAAAGGCATGCATTGAGGCACACACACATACTGAGGATAAATAACCATGTGAACAGGCCTGCAGAGACACATATTATGGGGTTACTTAGTTACAACACATTAAAAACGCCCCAGTCAGAGGAAGAGATCCAGCTGTCCATTCAGAAGGTCAGCAGGAGGAGAGGTCTCTCGCCCTCTCTCGCTCTCTTAGTGTGTGTGTGTGTGTGTGTGTGTGTGTGTGTGTGTGTGTGTGTGTGTGTGTGTGTGTGTGTGTGTGTGTACATGCGTGTGTGTGTGTGTGTGTGTGTGTGTGTGTGTGTGTGTGTGTGTGTGTGTGTGTGTGTGTGTGTGTGTGTGTGTGTGTGTGTGCGCGTGCGCGTGCGCGTGTGCGTGTGCGTGTGCGTGTGCGTGTGCGTGTGCGTGTGCGTGTGCGTGTGTGTGTGTGTGTGTGTGTGTGTACGTGCGTGCGTGTGTGTGTGTGTGTTTGACAGAGAGAGAGAGTAAGAGAGCTGAGAATGTGTTTTGGGGTGGGGGAAGGAATAAACTCCAAATGAAATAATATATTGACTATATCTCTATTGGCTATTGTTCATCTGATGTGATTTTGTCATTTGTTTAATTTGCCAGTAATGATTAGGCTAAATAGATAGCCTACAATAGCTTAGGCTGAGTAGGCCCCACATGTAATTGACCAATGACAATAAGTAGGCTAGCCTAGGCTGATAGGCCTGTAACATATAAACATCAGACCCTAGTCTAGTCTCACTACCGTTCAGTTACCGCTAAAATATCACCTGCTCGGATTTCCCAGAAGGAACTCCTTGCTTCAGCTGACTCTTTCGTGCCACTGCGAGCCTCACGCCGCAGAGTGGAGCGGGGTTGACGCTCCAACGAGGCCGGATTTACTGCCGCGGACACTGGCCATCCATCACCGCTCTACTCATTGTCACAATCATCAGGAGAACCAGACTCCCGAGTCCTCCCGGAATTCTGCTGAGGCATTCCGACCCTACTCCATTGGCCTCCTCGACCTCAACACTGCCACCCCAGCACGGAAAGATATTCGATAACCTCAGCAAATCGGTACAGGCCTACTGTAACGTTCCCGCACAAGAGATAATACAAACCGATATGCTATGGAGACATTTACAAAACAAAACAAAGAAAACAAACAAACAAGAAATGGGAGCCAGTGCCCACTTTGCTCAGACAAAAACACGCTTTGACGCTGGAGAAAAACATTTAAACAATGCGTAAAACGGTGTGTGATACGCCTAGGTTCATGGGTCAATATCGGTAGACTATTGTAAGGATTTGATTAATCTGAAACATAATCTGTCATAAATTCTACAGTGTCAGTGTCTCATATAGAATGATTAGCATTGGAGAGAGGCAGAGAGAACAGACTTCACCATAATGATTTGAAAAATAAAACCTCCAAAGTCCTTCTTCCTCTCCTCTCCAGGAAACTGGGGGATGGATAGACTGCTTTTACCAGCTATCAGAGAGCACACACAAGCTGGACTGTAGGTCTCCACCATACTTCTACCAGCTATCAGAGAGCACACACAAGCTGGACTGTAGGTCTCCACCATACTTCTACCAGCTATCAGAGAGAACACACAAGCTGGACTGTAGGTCTCCACCATACTTCTACCAGCTATCAGAGAGCACACACAAGCTGTGAGAGTATGTAGAATTCTGCAGTGAAACACTGTATGCTGGTGGAGAGAGAGCGAGGGAAGTGTGGGAAAGAGAACATGATAGAGGGATGGGAGAGGGTGAGGGTAGAAAGAGGGATGGATGGGAGAGGGTGAGGGTAGAGAGAGACTGTTGAAAGCCCCCTAAGCCCCTTCTTACGCTGCAGCAATGTAATGTGAGCTAGCTAACTGCACCAGAGGGGAACCATCATCTGTGGACCCCAGTCTCTCTGAGCAGCCATTCCAACACACACACACACACTTGCCATTCCAAGGAGTTCGCATCCCTATTAATAGCCTGCTTCAAGGACTGAGGGATTGGGCAATGAGCCATGAGATGCTATCGGGTGACTGATACACACTTCTGTCTGCAAGGTATACTGCCATTCACTGCCTGAAAGGTTAGAAAAAGAACCCCTTATACGACATGTGTTTGTGTCCTGGTAAATACAGCAGTCCCATAGTAATAGAGTGTGTACCCAATTACTGTTAAGTAAACATGGGTATTATGTTTTTTATGTTTTGTTAACTGGGAACAATAAATTCATCAATAAATGCATCACTCCCCCCCCCCCCCCCCCCCCACCCACACACACAGTGGTGGAAAAACTACCCAATTGTCATACCTTAGTAAAATTAAATAATCCTTAATAGAAAATTAAAAGTATCAAAGTATTTCGTTTTAAATATACTTAAGCATCAAATGTAATTGCTAAAATATACTTACGTTTTGAAAGTAAAAGTATAAATCATTTCAAATTCCCTATATTAAGCAAACCAGACCCCCATTTTCTTGCTTTTTTTTATTTAGGCCAGCCAGGGCCACACTCCAACACGCAGACATCATTTACAAACAAAGCATTTGTGTTTAGTGAGTCCACCAGATCAGAGGCAGTAGGGATGACCAGGCATGTTCTCTCAATAAGTGTGAGAATTTGACAATGTTCCTGTCCTGCTAAGTATTCAAAATGTAACGAGTACTTTTGGGTGTCAGGGAAAATGTATGGAGTAAAAAGTACATTATTTTCTTTAGGAAAGTAGTGAGGTAAAAGTTGTAAAAAAATATCAATAGTAAAGTACAGATAACCAAAAAAACGACTTAAGTAGTACTTTAAAGTACTTTACACCACTGCACACACACACACACACACACAGCACAGCACTCTCCCCCACTCTGATAAACATCAGCTACAGGGCGCGTGTGCCATTGTTTCACCTTCGCGCTAATTACTCAAGAGTTGTCCTCGAGCGCACTGGAGGGCGAGGGAGCGATCCATCATGTATGGCAGCCGGTGGAGGTCGTTTTATTGCAGCCAATCAATTGTCACGTTAAATAGCCCTGAAGGGAATCGCTTTAGGGAAAACCAAGTGGCCTTGAATTAGGGCGCACAGACAAAAGCAGCGCGCTGATCATGTTGTTCTTCTATTCTATTTTCGAATTAGGGCGCACAGACAAAAGCAGCGCGCTGATCATGTTGTTCTTCTATTCTATTTTCTTTCTCTCTTGGAAATATTAATAAATTACCAGTGGGAGACAGGCAGCTCTTCTATAACCTACCCCCCACCACCCCTGTGTTTAGGTTGGTAGGGCATGGCATGCATACACCCGGTCGATATCTCAACCAGCATCAGGGGTGTCCCTGCCCAGGGGTCATCACACCAACGTAAACACACACAGAGATAGCGACTAGGCATTCCAGAACAAACAGAAAAAATACAACTTTTCTCTATGCCCCTCTTTGGCGGGATGGAAAAACACAGCCTTTAGTCTGTGGATGTCCAATAGGCTAGACGTATCCAATGCAGCAGCATTACTGCAGACCAGTGGTACCCAACCAGGGGTACTAGGACCCTTGGGGGTACTTGGCCTATCCACAGGGGGTACTTGAGAAGACTCATGAGACTACAGGCCTACTGGTAAAATGCACATGAGGGGGTAAATCAGCGGTGCTCGGGGCAGAGCATAATTCAGTTGGTGGTACAGTAACCGAAAAAGGTTGGGAACCACTGCTGTAGACTACATCCATTAGGATGTCATAAACACTTTAGTTAAAGAGCTGAAGATGTGAGCCTGTGGTGGAGATGCAGCCTGTTTTTAAGGCCATTAGTGATTTAAAAATACCAATAAAACTATCCCGTTTCAGGGGCGAGACTGCCTTTTTTATATATATATTTTATATGGCCAGTAAAAATATGACCCACAGACAGAATAAATACTAGTTCTGTTCTGGAGTTCGTCAGAAGAACTGTGCGGACCGCTCTCTGCGCCTCCCGAGTGGCGCAGTGGTCTAAGGCACTGCATCGCAGTGCTAGCTGTGCCACTAGAGATCCTGGTTCGAATCCAGGCTCTGTCGTAGCCGGCCGCGACCGGGAGACCCATGGGGCGGCGCACAATTGGCCCAGCGTCGTCCAGGGTAGGGGAGGGAATGGCCGGCAGGGGATGTAGCTCAGTTGGTAGAGCATGGCGTCTGCAACGCCAGGGTTGTGGGTTCGATAAAATAATGGATGTGCTAACTGTAAGTCGCTCTGGATAAGAGCGTCTGCTAAATGACGTAAATGTAAAAAACATGAGAAGAGGGCCACAGGCAACGTTCCTCATCTGAAACCCCGCCCTTCTGAGTACTCTTCCGCCTGCTGATTGGCTTCTGAGACCTCTCCTGGCCGCTGGTTGGCTGTCCCTCGCGAGAGAGACAGAGAATTTGCTCATTACGGAGTGGGGCGGAGGCGCGCGGGCAGAACACGTAGAGACTGACCAGCAACCTGTCACCACAGCATATAGAGCGCAAGACCTAACAGAGCTTTTATACGGGAAACTGGAACGGACAGGGCTCCGGGATGTCTCCGAGGTCTCGTCCGTGAGAAACCACAGAATGAACAATCGAAACAGACACTGCAAAGTGAGGCAGGAGTTTTAATTGAAAGGAACATCTGGATATAACAGTTCCTTTTATTATTGCCTTTGGATACGTTGTTTCCAACTTCGCTTGACGGGTCGGAGTGGACTACCAACTGTGCTTCCAGTGGAGAGGTTCGTCTTGGCGAGCCAGGAGCGGGGATAAACAGCCGCTGACCGCGCACTCTGAAGTGGACTAATCTTTACCCAGCACCCGGTGGACTAGCCTACCAGGCAACGCCCGGAACCCGATCAGCTGATCACTTCGGATTCTTAGCGGGATAACTTTGGAACTTTCCCCCCTCGTGACAATGAGTCGGGCTGTGTACACTCTTGCGGCGGTAGCGCTCTCCCTCGCGCTGCTGTGCGGTCCAGGACCCCTTGGTCTGGTGCGTGCATTCGGCGACGAGGCAGAGGAGATGACTTGCGACCCGATACGCATCGCCATGTGCCAGGACCTGGGATACAACGTCACCAAGATGCCCAACCTGGTGGGCAACGTCCTGCAGTCAGACGCCGAGCTCCAGCTCACCACCTTCACACCACTCATACAGTATGGCTGCTCCAGCCAGCTGAAGGTACACACACACACACAGCATATATTTTACTATTTTTGTGCGGACCTCAAATTGATTTCCATTAAAAATCCTAATTTTTCCTAAACGTAACCCTAACCTTAATCCTAACCCTAAACCCTACCCCTAATTGTAACCCTAAACCTAGCCCTAAGCCTAAAATAGCCTTTGTCCTCGTGGGGACCTGGGAAATGTCCTCACAAGGGAGAATGTTCCTTGTTTTACTATCCCTGTGGGGACTTTGGTGGATTTCCGGTACCCACACACACTCTCTCTAGCTGCTCCAGCCGACTAAAGGCATACACACACACTGTTGGTTCTCAGGCTGGGCTGTGTGTTGGAGCAGGCAGTGTATAGTGGAGAGAGACAGAGAGCACATGACAGAGTTGCAGGGAGGCAGCCAGTCTTGGTTCAGCAGCACGGGGCAATGAGGTAATACATGTCTGAGGAGAGGAGGGGGCCAGGCCAGCTCCACATGGCAACAACAATACTGCCCTCAGTACTACTCTCTGTAAGGCCACTTGTCTGCCTGAACCACCATGAAGCTGGAAATTAAATCCTTCCCATTTTGTCTTTCTCATATGGTTTTTATTGTCCTGACTGAAGTGACAAATGAGGACACTCTTAGAAAAAAAAAGGTGCAATCTAGAACCAAAAATGGTTCTTCGCTGTCCCCATAGGAGAACCCTTTGAAGAACCTCTTTTGGTTCCATGTAGAACCCAAAATAGTTCTACCTGGAACCCAAAAGTGTTCTACCTGGAACCAGAAAGGGTTCTCCTATGGGGACAGCCGAAGAACCCTTTTGGAACCCTTTTTTCTAAGAGTGTAGTTATTTATGTGGTTAGATAGAAATGTCAGGATGAATGGATCCAGTTTTCTGTTGTTTACCATTCCATAGCCTGTAGACACAGCATACCACTGGCAACCTTGTCTCTAAGGATATTCCTTATCCTGACCATTGAGATACATTAACATATATTCAGTCCAATTCTAATTGATTTAAGGGCTTTTGTGGTATTATTATGGTGTTGTAGTTGGCTGGATGGTTATTTGTGTGATTATGGGTTTGCGTAGTTTGTGTTGTGATTGTCTGTCTCTTGTGGTTCAGTGTGTGAGCGTGTTATGTGAGCGCTCCGGAGTGACGGCCGTGAAATGTTTCCATTTCCTGTCTGAGCACAGAAACATCCCACAGATTAGGCTCTTTCTTACACACACACACACACACACACTCAGACATTCACCAGAGGAAATGGAAACTAGATCTTGCACATGGCTTTTCTAATAGGAAGAATCCCCCAGGTATCCACACACACACTGGGCCGTGAACAGAGGCGGCACTCAGCTTACCTGCTGCGGAGGAAAACAAGCCTTCTCCAGTCCAGCTAGTGATCAGAGAACAGTAGCACAGTTCCAACAGAGAGAAACATCACTGATATAATCTCACACTCTCACAATGCTGCCTTGCGCTTCCCACTGCTTCCCACGCCACAGGATAGCCCCCCCCCCCCCCCCCCCCCCCCCCCCCCACACACACCTTAGCCCGATACATTCACTTGTGTTTATGGCTAGACAGTTATCTTTACTGCAGTATGCTGACCAGAGAGTCAGAGTAGAGTTTGTCCCTCTCAGTTAAAGTTAATCAGACGTTCATCTCTCCGGGACATTGTCTGTATGACTATTCAATTACCTGTTTATTTGTTGTAGTAGCTTTAATAATCATTTAGAAATTCACTAAAGGTTTCACCACAATCTTTTGTGATAGTTGCCTGGTTTTCCTGACTAAGCTCAAAACAAATTAGAATAGGAAGCAGACTAAGGACCATGATGCAACACAGGGAAAGCAGACACAGAGCAATGCACACAGAATCATCATAGAAACTATTTTAGAAATTCATTAAGTGACATATGCAAAGATAACACCTCTCTCTCTCTCTCTCTCTCTCTCTCTCTCTCTCTCGCTCCCCAGTTCTTCTTGTGTGCGGTGTACGTGCCCATGTGTACAGACAAGGTTCCCATCCCCATTGGGCCGTGTGGCAGCATGTGTCTGTCTGTCAAGAGGAAGTGCCTGCCTGTCCTAATAGAGTTTGGCTTCGTCTGGCCAGAGCTGCTCAACTGCAGCCTGTTCCCCCCTCAGAACGACCACAACCACATGTGTATGGAGGGTCCAGGGGACGAGGAGGCATTTGTCCGGCCCCTGCCGCCCCAGGAGGAGGAGTGCCAGGCCCTGGGGGCAGGGCCAGACCAGTATGCCTGGGTGAGGCGGAGCCACAGCTGTGCGCTGCAGTGTGGGTATGACGCAGGGCTGTACCGGCGAGGAGACAAGGTGTTTACAGACGTGTGGATGGCAGTGTGGGCAGTGTTGTGTTTCCTCTCTACCACTCTGACCGTCCTCACCTTCCTCCTGGACTCAACACGCTTCTCCTACCCCGAGAGACCCATCATCTTCCTCTCCATGTGCTCCAACCTCTACAGCGTCGCCTACCTGGTGAGGACATAGGACTTAGAGCAGGGGTAGGCAACCCTGGTCCTGGAGTGCCGCAGGCCCTTCATGTTTTTGATTTAACTGACCTGGAAGACCAGGTGTGTTCTAATTTAGGCAACCACTGAACTGTTCCAGCCGGTGACGCCTCCACATACAATTTAAGAAAATCATCAAGGATAACACAATAAAGCTTGAAAGCTTATTTCCATTGTGGTCCTTTTGGAAAGGATAGGCAGCAATGGTAGTGGCAACAAACAATGACAGACAAAATTGTTGTTTGTTTCATAAAATGAGCTAATTATTACAGTTCCATTTCCTAATAAACAAATGTGGACAGGTACATCTCCCTTGTCTCACATACCACTAATATATACAACTATCTAAGTCTTATATATATATACAAGAAAGGAGGCCAGAGTCAGGCGTACCTACAGGGTGCATAGTTGGAACAGAAAACAGGGTTGCCTACCCCTGACTTAGACGATTAAGCTCATGTTTAAAGCACTGGGCTGTTTCTCAATAGTTTAAATTAGCCTCCTCTTCTCCATGATCACCAATATGACAGGTGGGAGCAGTTTGTTGTAAACCTGTCCAGTCCTTTCAGCTACCAGTGGTAATGAGGAAAGTAGACAAGGACAGGAAGCCATGCTAGAGTACGTAGACCCAGCCCTGGTCTCCTGGATGACCTGATGACCCCTGGTCTCCTGTATGACCTGGTGACCTCTGGTCTCCTGTATGACCCCTGTGTCTGTCTGTGTTTCCCTGTAGGTGCGCCTGACTCTGGGTCGGGAGCGTGTGTCCTGTGATCTGGAGGAGGCAGCGGTACCTGTTCTGGTACAGGAGGGGTTAAAGAGCACCAGCTGTGCCATCGTCTTCCTACTGCTCTACTTCTTTGGCATGGCCTCCTCGCTGTGGTGGGTACACACACACACACACACACACACACACACACACTCTGGACAAAAGTATTACATTGTAAGGAATAGATTTGAATGAAACCGTTAGAACAGTCGCCTCCCAGCTCTCTAACCCGTCTCTCTCTCTGTCCCCTCCCAGGTGGGTGATCCTGACTCTGACCTGGTTCCTGGCGGCAGGGTTAAAGTGGGGTCACGAGGCCATCGAGATGCACAGCTCCTACTTCCACATAGCAGCCTGGGCCATCCCCGCCATCAAGACCATCGTCATCCTCATTATGCGACTAGTAGACGCTGATGACCTCACGGGGCTGTGCTACGTGGGTAACCTACAGCAGGAGGCTCTGACGGGCTTCGTGGTCGCCCCGCTCGCCACTTACCTCCTCATCGGGACGCTGTTCATCTGCGCCGGCTTGGTGGCCCTGTTCAAGATCCGCTCCAACCTACAGAAGGAAGGGGCGAAGACGGACAAGCTGGAGCGTCTGATGGTGAAAATCGGGGTGTTCTCTGTGCTGTACATGGTGCCTGCATCCACTGTGATAGGCTGCTACCTCTACCAGCTGTCCCACTGGGGGGACTTCAGAGCCAGTGCCAGGGACTCATACGTGGCAGCAGAGATGCTGAGGATATTTATGTCTCTGCTGGTGGGTATCACGTCGGGCATGTGGATCTGGTCGGCCAAGACCCTCCACACCTGGCAACGCTGCTCTGCCCGCCTATGGAGGGACGGCCGGGCAGGGAGGGGCAAGCGTGCACCGGGGGACAGCTGGATAAAACCTGTCAAGGGCAATGAGACAGTGGTGTGAGTAGAGAGGGAGCGAAAGAGAGAGGGAGAGAAATAGAGAGGGATAGAGAGAGAGGGGAAGATAGGAACCGGGTGGCTTTTTAAAGCAAACCTGCCCCCAAACCCACTATTAGATCCGCTACCTGATGGAGAGAGGGAACGAGAGAAGGACTGGAACGAGAGAAGGACAGACAGATCAATAGCACCACTAAGCAGACAGCGGTCTCCTTTGCCCACTGTGTCTGTGGTTCTCTCCCTCCTAGCAGACTCTAACCCACTGCCAGAGAAGAGACTGACCCTGTAGCCTACAGCAGACTCTGGGCTGATCTATAGGACCTTCTGACTTTAGAGAGTTGTTCTTAAAGGTTGAATTTACACTGGAGAGTCATGGTCCAGATGATTTACAGATCTAAACTACAGCCACACTGAAATGCACTATGACTAGCTGATGTGGATGTAGCTTGGTTAACGTGCCTTATAAGGAACGGAGGGCTGTGCTGCCCAGCCAGTCACACTCTGGAGGCTATGAAGCTATGCTACTGCAAAGGCACCTGGGAGTTGTAGTGACTTGACTCTGGTGCTGCAGCTAAGGCACCTGGGAAACGTAGGCCTATGTCTTTTACCTCAGTGCTCAGCGAGCAGCACAGCTGACCTCCACTGACCTACACGCAGTCTTAACGAGGAAACAGACACTCAACTTTGAACTCTGAACTTTAACCCTTGACCTTCTCCAGTCACTCATGGAACCCTTAGGAATGGTGGTCAGTAATGAACTGGTGTAAGGTTCTTTCTGGGGGGTTTTACCGGTTATGGAAGTGAATTAAGGGTTATTATGAATGATGTTAGACAATCAACCCCCAAAACACATTATGCAAATGCTATAATACACCAACAGAGAAACACATACACTTACACACACACACACACACACACACACACACTCACACACAGAGTCACACTCATACAGTCTGTAGAGTTGCACCCTTATGCAATCCGCTCCCATCAAATCTGCTGCATTAGCTTAGTTATTATTGCATTAAGCTGCAACCATCATGAGACAGTCAAACAGAAACACACACAACAGAGAGACAACGGGACTCTACTCTGTTACTGCAGCCTGTCTCCCTACTCTGTTACTGCAGCCTGTCTCCCTACTCTGTTACCGCAGCCTGTCTCCCTACTCTGTTACTGCAGCCTGTCTCCCTACTCTGTTACTGCAGCCTGTTTCTACTCTGTTACTGCAGCCTGTCTCCCTACTCTGTTACTGCAGCCTGTCTCCCTACTCTGTTACTGCAGCCTGTCTCCCTACTCTGTTACTGCAGCCTGTCTCCCTACTCTGTTACTGCAGCCTGTCTCCCTACTCTGTTACCGCAGCCTGTCTCCCTACTCTGTTACTGCAGCCTGTCTTCCTACTCTGTTACTGCAGCCTGTCTCCCTACTCTGTTACTGCAGCCTGTCTCCCTACTCTGTTACTGCAGCCTGTCTCCCTACTCTGTTACTGCAGCCTGTCTCCCTACTCTGTTACTGCAGCCTGTCTCCCTACTCTGTTACTGCAGCCTGTCTCCCTACTCTGTTACTGCAGCCTGTCTTCCTACTCTGTTACTGCAGCCTGTCTCCCTACTCTGTTTATGCAGCCTGTCTCTCTATTCTGTTACTGCAGCCTGTCTCTCTACTGTGTCACTGCAGCCTGTCTCCCTACTCTGTTACTGCAGCCTGTCTCCCTACTCTGTTACTGCATCCTGTCTCCCTACTCTGTTACTGCAGCCTGTCTCCCTACTCTGTTACTGCAGCCTGTCTCCCTACTCTGTTACTGCAGCCTGTCTCCCTACTCTGTTACTGCAGCCTGTCTTCCTACTCTGTTACTGCAGCCTGTCTCCCTACTCTGTTACTGCAGCCTGTCTCCCTACTCTGTTACTGCAGCCTGTCTTCCTACTCTGTTACTGCAGCCTGTCTCCCTACTCTGTCACTGCAGCCTGTCTCCCTACTCTGTTACTGCAGCCTGTTTCTATTCTGTTACTGCAGCCTGTTTATATTCTGTTCTCTCTGTACTCTACTCTACTCTGTTACTGTCATGTCTCTCTACTTCTATACTGTGTTGCCAGTCTGTGTCGGACAAGTCCTCTGTTTCTGTGAGTCTGAATTTATGACACTCTGGTTAATAGGTCTAAAATGCAACCCTATTATTCCGCATATAGTGACCAGGTCAAAAGTAGTACACTATGAGGAATAGGGTGTCATTTGGGAATTGCCCTTTGAAGTGTGATTTTAATAACCTGTTAGTACCTAAGACCTTTGGGTACTGCCAACCCCACAACTCCAATAAGTACTTTTTTGTCAAGAGAAACAGGCGTTTTATGTATTTTAATGTATTATAAGAAATGCTAATTTATCTTTGTAAAAAGTACATTGAAAAAACTAAAAACAACTTTATTAAAAAAAGAAAATGAAACTTTTGTATCAGAAGAAAAATAAAAACGTTTTGGTTTTAAAATGTGTTCTACTTGTAATTATTGTGTGTGTGTGTGTATGATGCCGCATTTATAAACACATTATAGCCTTTGTAATAAATGATATACCATTATATCTGGATTCCATCAGTACTACATCTAGTCAAACTCTAAACTGGATTTAAAAGAAGCTCACAATTCAGATTTGCAGGATAAAATTGAGCATGACCTGATTGGCCTTCCACTGCTATGCACAGCATGGTTTGTTACTGTAATGCACTGTCGAATGCTGTCCTCTAGAGTCTCAGAGCTGTAACTACACCCTAAAGTCTCAAATCTGTACTCCCTGAGACCGAATACAAACACAATCAGGGTTGCCATGTCTGTAGTTTTGGCGAAAATTGGCTGACTTTGAAAACGATGTGGCGGGTGAAAATGTATTGTTCACGGGTGAAAATATATTGGTCGCGGGTGAAGATGTATTGGTCGCGGGTTGCGGGTTTTTGGGCTACTACGAAATTGCACCTCGGCCACCACGGCAATTTCTTTAAAATATATATTTCACTGTGACCTGCTGCTGCTGACTATCAGGCAGTGAGGCAGCCTGTTTCTGAGTGAGTGGTGAGGAGGGCAGGAGGGGTGTGTGTTGAGACTGAGCGCTGCAGCAGGCAGCTGAGTCTCCTGAGTGAGAGGCGACAGCGCAGCACACGCGCAGGTCCTAACAACTTTTTACCAGTTGTAGGTAGGCTATTTAGATTGTCATTATGGAGACACCTCTTTCCAACCCTTTTTCCATAAAACATATTAACGCGCTAGAACTGTTGCGCATCAAGAAATAACGGTGACAAAGCACAGGCAAACGACTTTAGGCGATCTAGAGCGCATTAGATACATTCGCTCTGAGGTGGTTTAAACTGCATTCTAATGTCTACTTTGCTTATGGAAAACCATATCAAGCTAAGGGTTATAAGCATGCTCAGTTCTTAGGTCTAGAGCTCTGCGCGAGTGGAAATTTGAAATGGAATTATGGAACTCACTCGCTGCTTCTGCTATGGTTAAAGTCCACAATGAAACTGACATTAAATGTGGAGAATGATACATTTGCATTTGTTGGCCATCAAGTAGCCTATTAATTGACGCGCCATTGTAGGCTACTGTAGCCTACCATTTTATACAATACATATGTTGAAATGATGATGTCATTTCATATCAATTTGTGCCACTTGTGTAGCTGTCACCCCTGGCCGGTTGAGGCCTGTTGTCTTTAGTTGGTTTGGTCAGGGCGTGAGTTTCTATGTTATATATTCTATGTTTACGTTCTAGTTAGTCTATTTCTATGTTTCAGTTATAGGTTGTGTGTCTATGGTTGGCCGGGTGTGATGCCCAATCAGAGACAGCTGTCGCTCGTTGTCTCTGATTGGGGATCATACTTAAGTAGCCTGTTTGCGTACCTTTGTTGTGGGATCTTGGTCCGTGTTAGGCTTGTATGTGTATAGTCTGAGGACCTCACGTTACGTTGTTTCGTTTATATTTATTGAGTTTAATAAACATGTACGCTTTTCACGCTGCACCTTGGTCTGACCCGTCTCTCAACGATCGTGACAGTAGCCTACCTGGAACTGTTTTATTATGCAATTATTAAAGTCCATGTTTACTTAATGCAATTGGAAGTCAGCTATTGTGATCATGGTCACAATTTTATCGCAATTACCGATCAGCTGTTAGAATGCATTAGATTGAAGGTAACAGTCAGCCAGATTAGGCTACAGGTTAAAACTATTTTAAAAAATAAACACCGGCTGTTGTTGACAAGCATAGGCCTATTTAGTTCATATGCATATTTTTATATTTGATTCAGTGATTTAAATTACGACCCTATCGTCAGTACCTTATTCCAGTAGGCTATTGGGCAACGGAAGCACTTCTTACTTCGAAATCGCCTCGCTGTTCATGTTGAGTCTGTCAATTTGAACTAAGCAAGCTGCTAAATCGTTCATTTTACATCTTGCATAGGCTACTGTAGGCTATTTCAAATTAGATGTAGGCCTATCAGGAGCTATAGGTTACCTGCATCTAGCTAACCAAACCATGGCAAAATTGAATTACAATCATAAACCCTGATTTTTGTCAGTAGGCCTATCCAATGCTTATGGGAATGACAAGTCAATCTCGCAAATAGGCCACTTATAACGGTTTGTAGTCTTAACATCTGGCACATAATAATGGCACAATTGCCAGAAAATAGCCTAACATTATTTTTTAAAAGTTGAAAAAGGTCGATTTATATTTTCTCTTGCGACATATTCAAATTCCTTTATTAGTCACATTAGCTCGCAATAATTATTATTTTGATGGAAAACCCAATTTTGCTTCTTAGGTCGTTAGAAGCTAAATCGAGATTCCTTCATAATTCGCTCGATAACGTTATGGGAAAAGGGTTTATTGGCTAAATGTGGCAACTTCTGTCTTGCTGCGAAAAAAACATTTTGGGCTAGTTTTCAGGCTTTGTGGGCGGGTTTTGAAAGTACTGGTCCAGAAATGTTTCTTGACCTGGCAACCCTGAACACAATGGGCCTGAAAGAAACACAACGAAGGGAACACAATTTGGCGACAATCCCATTCACTGACTCAAGCATGTAAGATTTCCACCTGCAACTAGGGCCAAATGGCAATTACATACCAATTGTAGCAATAAATAGAAATCCATGAGAGTAAAACATACTTTTTGAACGCAGCGTGACGCTCCAAATTAACTTCGGTTGTCCACGAGATTGACAACAAAAAACATTGTGTTGGCCAAAACATTATCAAAGCAAAAATTATTCTCGTCCATGCAATAGATGTTTGTTGGATTATTATCAGGTAAGATCAGTACTGAGGCATTTCTAAGCAGTGTCTTAAAAAAAAACAATGAAAAACTATTGAAATTATGTCTAAAAGGCCTACAGTTTACTCACACACATGCTCAACAACATACCGCATGATGAAGTATTTCTGATGCAGCAACATACAATACATCCCAGCTAGCACATTTAGTGTCTTGGAAGTTGTGGGAACATACGTTTTTGGTTTCCCATTGGTTCCGGGAACGAAGCCATAAGTTTCCTGACTGTTAAAACTGAACTTTTAAAAAAATATTCTGAGAAAGGAGGTGAACATTTTGCCTGTTCTGGGAATGTACATTTTTAGTTTCCAGGCAGGTTGTGATAACGTTTTTCTATGGTTTCCTGAAAGTTCTATTAACGTTCTGAGAATGGAAATTATAGGCTATTTGAAGGTAATTAAACAATGTTC